GTACTAGTGTATTGGATATATCATCAACTGGTGATGGTAGTACAGTATGTGAACTGACAATATAAGGTATAGACAGATCTAATGTATTGAGATATAATGACTATATTGATCACTGATAATGCACATACACACACTCACCTAACTGGTGTAATATAGAGGTAGCAATATCTGTTAGTGTATGATGTTGTTGGTTTATTAATACATGACATATATCAATAAGATACTGCTCTGGATTAAGAGAGGATTCCAATGTTGCTTGTAGTGTAATGAGTAGTTTCCCAGTTTTCTTTGATTCATTTTCTCCTGTCAATGAGTACATGTCCCTTTTAGTATTCAGCGGTATCAGTCCTTCAGCATACAGTACATCAGTTACTCTGTAAAGGTTAGTAGTAATAGCATCAGTGAGTTTAACAGAATGAGTCCTTAATATATCCTTTGGATTACCTGCAGTAGTGTATCAGTTAATGAGTGTTGTATTAAGTGTATGTTTACCTAATGAAGTACTAGTAACAGGTTTAGTAATCACAGAAACTGACGATGATACAGTAGACACTACTGATACAGTACTAGTAGGAGCATCAGTATTACCTATTATATATTTAATATAATTATTAATATATAAACATGTGATTATACCTCCTGTACATTGATGTACTTGTAACTGATCATTAATAGTTTGTAATAAATTAATCTCTTCTCTTTTATTCAATGCATTGAGTACATCTCTCCATGTTGCTGTAGGATTCTTTTTTAACCATTTAGAGAAAAGACCTTCTTTACTTTGCTCTTTATCAATTTCAAAGTCTTCAATTGTTGTAATATCTTGTTGTGTTATTCCAGGTAAGAGAAGACCAAATGATTGCCAGTCAACAAGTGGTTTAAGCCATTGAAGTAATAGAAAAATATTTGGTTGATCATCAATCATAGGACCAGGATTGAGTTCAACATCTCCTGATAAGAGGAGAAGTAAAAACAAATAGTACATCAGGTCAGAGCTACTGCCAATCACAGCTATAAACAAGACTAATGACTGGAGGCAGTGGATCATAACAGTAACAGTAATTATACCTATTGTAAATACACTGTTTGATAATATATATTATAATACTGTTAATTTGTTTACCAGTTGGAAGAAAAAAATTGAGCTTCATATATCTTAATAAAGATAAAAGAAGAGAAACAATAAAAGACAGAGCTGCTGGCAATTTAGATGTCTTCTCTCCTGATGTAGTACTGCCTGATTTGCTGTCTACTGCAGCTTTGAATGAGTGAGAGTGGCAGCCATTAGCTGCAGATCTACTGGAGGCAGCTTGACAGTAGTTCCACAGTCCAATACTTGCTCTCCATTGAGAAACATCAATCATCTTGTAATAATTATAAATTGTTACAGTGCAGTAGTTTCTTTATCCAGTGACTAGTGATAAAGAGTGAATGTATGTGCATAGGTGTCATAGTCATAGGCATGATTCAGAAGTTGGGGGGGCTTAACATTTTTAAAATGTGAACACGTACTGTCATATAAGCCTGAGAATATTAGGCTGGCATTTTTTGAGCATAATAGAGCCTCAGGAGCACAAAGAATAATGCTGGCACAGCAACCTATTTTATCATGTACTACTTGCTATTTTTTAAAGAACTATATGCCTTGGCCGGTGACTGCCGGTGAAAACAAGGTTTTTTACTGAAGCAAAATTTTGGTCCATGAAGTAAAAGTATCATAACTAAAGCTTTTTTTTGTTAACAGTGAAATATGTATACACACATATCAGAAAGGGTGCATATTTTAAGGTTTTTGAAGCATTGCTACATTAATTTTCAAAAATATGTATTTTTGAAGAATAATTTTGAGAATAATAGCAATGAATTGAAAAGAATAATTCAACAATCATTAGGAACTGAAGCATAGCATAATTACAGAAATTGTGAGCATAATATTCTCAGGCTTACTGTCATAGGTGCTCTCAACAGCTACTGCATGGCTAATTCGTGTCATATTGTATGATTTGAATTGGGACTGTACTATAAATGCTGTGACTAGAAGATTATAGCCTCCTTACCTTTGAATTGATATAGAAAAATACAGGTGTAATGACTAAAGGTAGCTCCAATATTATACCAGGATAGAGTACAATACCTCGTACAATACAACTTGAACCCTTGAACTTGACAAGACGGCTGAAATCCATAAACCGAGATAGCTCAAAAATGTGCCCCGCCTTTAGTGGGTGTGGCCTGTTGAAAAAAGGGAAGAAATGGGCGTGTCTGCCTAGGAATGATGATATGAAAGCATGATGAAAGATTATAGAAAAGATTTTAAGTACAATATTATATGCAGACTCTTCTTTTGGTAAGACAAAAAGTCTACACTTTTTATTCTGTTGTTTAATAGCTGGGTTGATCCATTGTTTTGGGTTGGTTGTTGCAGAAGTCTGGCTCATTCTGACCTGTATCCTCATCCTTTTGAGTGTGACTCATTGTATCTACATGAGAAATTCAAGGGGTAAGTTTGCAAATTTTAGCTAATTAGGGTAGGAGGGAGGTGCGGCAAGGAATTTTTAGGGGGTGCACTGGCACCCGTTATTGACCAAGATACACCCACTAACTGAGTCAATCTGTCAATAAAATAATAATTACTAGATGAATGTAGAACAATAAGGGGGTGAGCCTGAGCAAGTAAAGCAATTTACATACAATATATCTCAACAAACTAACAATACTCATCATGTCATTGTGGTGCATGATGAAGATGATTGTGCACATATAAGCAGGCTCAGAACTTGATAGATGTAGTTCTTCATGATCTACCACTATAATCTCTGCAGCAATTCAAGTTACCTTGCTTATAGCATTAAAAATAGCTACAACCAGTCATTGCACAAATAATATAGCTAGATATAGGCAACTGTAGCAAATGTACTTCAATGATTGTTGCATCAGCATGCTCCAAGTTAGTTCAGGGCTTTAGACTGTCTCTGACTGTGACTGACATTCACTTGATCAGAGTTGTTTACATCAATGAAGAACATCTGCTTTCATAACCTACCTTGCTGAAGTACAGTGATTACAGTCTAAGTTAGTCTTGCTGACTGATTTGCAGAAAAACCATTAGGGAGAGATTGTTACTGTCCTGTAAATGTCTGTAAAACAACTTTGTGCATATGCGCATTGGTGCAAAATGGAAATTAGTTTTTGTCATGGACTGCTAAGCCAACTGGGGACTTTTAAAACCTAGGGGATGCTCCAAAATAAAAAAACTAAACCCTAAACCAACCTTTGGAACTCCTAACATAACTAGGGGACTCATAAAATGACTAGGAATGCTCTAAAAAAACCGCCACCCTAAACGCTAAACCCTAAAACAATAGCTAACTAGGGGACTCCTAACATAACTAAGGGACAAGGCTAAGTAGAAAAGGTTAAGTAGAAAAGGTAAAAGAATTCAATTTTTGAAACTAAATTAAAAAAATTTTTTTAAAGCAACTGGCCATGCCTTGAGCTGGATTCGAACCAGTGCCACATCCAGACTGTACCCCCACACCTTCCCCACTGAGCCACCACGATCCTACTGCCAAACCTTGCTGATTATTGTATCTATAGTTAATTTCTATATTGTGTAAAGTAGTATACTGGGGCAAAGCCCCAGTATAGTATACAGGCGAAGCCTGTAAAACTCCGTTTACCAATAGTTTACGGGATGGTAGCAATCTCTCCCTAATGGCTAGTCATTTGCAGCCCAGCTGCCATTTTATTTTATTGTGACCACACCCATTTTCAATGAAGTTATTGAATTTATTTAAAAGTGGAAACTTTTTCATATGAATAAATAGGAGTGACGTACGTGTACATGCAAACAGACAGACTTACATACTCATGTCGATTATGTGGGACTCGCTTAGGCTCGCCCCAATAAGTGCACCCATTTTGCTAGAGTAGCCTGTACTCATGCAGCCACAGCTTTCTGGTACCCCTGGTTGGAGCTAGTCTTGTGTAGCAAGACACGGATGGTGGGTTTGGCTACATGAGACTAGGTTTGAGCCGGGAAACTTTTATTAGCAATTTTTATTGCTATTTTACTGATAGATATTGGTCAAACGAGCTATCAACTAGGGGCTCAGCTAATGTAAGGCTGTGGTGGGTGATACTGAAGTGTTTTTGGTGGAGATCGTTACTAATTCAATTCCTAGCATTACTACTGGCAAGTTTATTATCTCCTATAGCTGAAACTGTACTGCAACTTATATGATGATAATTGGTTTTGTCCTTACAAATCTCTAGTATTAACTCTCCCTCCTTTCAATTGTCTTCTTGATTTTATTAATAGGTAGCTGTATTTATGGCACAATCAGAGACATTGGGTTTGTTAACTGATTATTTCTCTCTTGAGACTCCTACACCAGAGGATACTAATAATGTATATATTTATGCTGCTCTCCTTATATTAATGTCTGCCTTTCTGATCCTTCTTAATCTGGTGTTTTATGTTGGTCGTAAATTTGGAGGAATGGTCCGGATTCTTCTAACCAATGCCATTTATTTTAAAGTAATTTTGTGTATTGTTACTTTGATCTTTTTTGCTAATCAGGTATTATCCTTAAGTCAGTGCACATTGAGTCATGTGACTATGGGCCATGTGATCAATATAGCTTCGAATGATGTCCATCGCTTTGATGAAGTTAGATAAATTTTATGATATTTTGTGTTACATCCTTTTCGTTGCTTTTTTAGTGCATATTATACTTTCCGTTCTTTTTGGTATTTCCCATTCATTTATTTGTGGTGCTATATCTTTTATATTTAAAAGTACAGTGGAGTTCCGTGATCATTGTTGGAGTGATACTAGTATCACTGCCAGTATTAATCTCTTTATCTGTTATTTACTCAATATTTAGGTTTGTCAATAACTTGCTTTGTTTTGTCTTTTTGTTATTATGTACATTCTTCTTTTTATGCATCAAGTACATGTAGTATTATTAATACACAATAAATGTAAGTGTTGTATCAATTTCTTGCAAGTTTGTATTGGCACTGATTATCTAGAATTACGTATATAACTATTACTGTGATGATGTTAGGTTTAAAGCAGCTAAAGTTACTGATAGAAGAGTCAAAGTTATGAATGAGATAATCAGTGGAATTAGAGTCATTAAAATGTATGGATGGGAATATGCTTTTAGTCAACTGGTCTGTAAAATAAGAAGGTACACATAATTATTACAGTGATAACAACCTGAGCTTTTTTGTAGGGAGGAAGTGTGGGATGTATTTAAAGGCATTATTGTAAAGCAGTTGAGTGTTGCTTATGCTACCAGAATCCACAACTTGTTAATATATGTATTGCTCTCTGTATTTTTACTGACTGGAGGTGACTTAACTCCTGGGATTGTGTACAGTGTCTTTGCTCACACCATCTTTCTCCGCTTTACATTTAGTCATTTTTCACAGGCACTTCTGTATCTGCTTGAATCACGAGTTGGATACAAGAGAATTAAAGTAATTATTGGTTATTAATTTTATTACATTTGTAATTAATTAAGCTGGCTTTCCCACAAGCATTTGATGTCAGCTAAAAGGCATGCTTCATGAACTGATCATATAAAAAGCAGCTTTAATAAAAAATAATAAAAAGTCCCAATTTAATTAGAATGAGCTCAAACATTTTACACAATATAAAAAATATGCATATATATCAGAACATTATAACAATTAAAAAGTTGTTTTTTAGTTGTTTTTGACACTTTGGATATGCTACATGTATTTATATACATGCAAATATTTGGCTGGATTTTTTGAGCAAATCTAAAAATTCTATTTAATCAGAATAAGCTCAAACTTTGTACACAACATAACGACATATACTGTACATGCATAAAAAATCCAGCTGTTTTTGGCAAAGGGTATTTGGTCCAATTTTTGGGCAACTCTAAAACTTTATTTAAAATATTTACTTTGAATCAAATTAAGCTTACACTTTCTATGTATCAGAAGAAAATTATATAAGAACGGA